TGATTTGAATTCAATGATTGAGTTTGAAGAATCACATGAAGAGTATTAAATTAGTGGTCCAAATAAATCACACATCAATTAAATTGAAAACATTATGGACATATAAATATAACTAAGCTTCTCTACTTAATTTTAATTAATTTTAGATTGAATGTTATCATAAAATTTAATATTATATCAAATCAACTGTTGCTTCCTTTGGCTTATATGTGATAGGTGTATTGCACTTACACGTGAAATTCATGTAACATGATAAATCCATATATATGAGACAGAATATTAGAGTAGAGAATCCTATATTTGTTAAATTAAAGTAATTTGAGTGAGCACAAGTATAATAAGAGTCTCTCAACTATAATTTGAGTGAGCTAGTGTCTAGTGATGAGATATATATATATATATATAATGCATTTTATAAATTTCTTGAATGTATAAAGTTAATAATAAATCGAAAACATAATGAAGCATAATCATATATTTATAAAATTATTTTAATAAAATTTAGTCAAGTGAAAATAAGAAGAAGGAATCTTAATTAAACGACAATGTTAACTTTCAATTAAATAGATAACAACTAGTAAATCAAATTTCTTTGTTTTATTTTCGTTTAATTAGTCTAATACGATACAATGATTTCAAGATCATTGTTACTTATTATTACACAGCGATACATCATTTTTTCACAATCACAGCACCAATCAAATAACAAAGGCTATTAATTAATGATTGGTGATTGTCTTCGTCACTTGAATCAGATGATGATATTTTCATTAATATATATATACATATATATTATATATATAAACAAACTTTAAATACCCTTCAAAGCTTATTGTAAAATGAATAGGATTGATCACCAAGCTTGTAAATATTTATAATTAATTTGGGTCGGCATGTGACAAACTTGTTTTCTTCTTAAATACGTCCACGGGAAAGTGTTTTTTTTAAAACTTCCTATATTAATCTGAATGCTTATATTCAAATAACAAAAGATCAATTTTTTATTATATTATTTAATAATTGTTACTTAAATTTAACTAGAAATAAAGGTATGTATGTATTGTATCAAAATAATTAATTTAAATTTTTTTATATTATATTTAAATTAAATTACATTAACAATGTTGATTCAACGATTAAATTCGTTCACCTCTGTATCTCATGATTTGGATTTGAAAATTGTGTCTCGTCTTGCTAGAGGTGAGAGCAATCTATTCAACATTATATATATATATATATATTTACATAAGAGATAATAATTTAAGAATAAAGAAACGGATTGTAAATGTTGGAATTCAAATATCAATTCGTTTTTAATATTTTTAAAAAATAAAATTTAAACAAAAATATGACCTATAAATATGGATTTTATCCTTTTGTTAGAAAAATATATATTCCCATAAATTTGGTTAAATGTATATGATAATTGGTAACAAATTGAAACCCTACAAAGTTGAGTCTCAAATATAAATTCATATTAAAAAGGAAAAAACAAAAAATAGAATTATAGTGCAATTTACACTTGCATTATTTTTTTCTATTTTTTCTCTGATTTTCATCTCTTAATCTTAAAAATATTTACCTCATATTTCATGTTTTATTGTAATATATGCAACTAATGTTATAAAAAAAAGAAACTTATATAAAACGGTTACCCAATGTTAACATATTTCACTTTAACTCAAATCATAATACGTAATCATATTATTAAAAAAATCAATCATTTAATATCTATCAAATAATGTGATAATTAAATACTAAATATTTATTTTAATAAATTCATCAATAATTATAATAATAAATTATTGATTTCTTGTAATATTGTAATTATATAACATAATTTAAATAAAAAAAAACTATTGTAGAATAATCATTTCATATATTCTATTTTGAATGCGATATATGCTGTGAAAGTCACTTATATCTATCTCCTTTAATGCATATGAAAGAACTTGTTTGCTTATGTAATTCCATCGTAGCATAAAGATAAGAGATAAGGATCGAATTTCTTCACTACGGCAGTTATCTAATAAGTTCCTTTAACAATCAATTTATTTTATTTTAAATAAACAGTAAGAAGCAACAATAGGGCTAGCTAGCCTAAGCTTGATGCGAGATACGTAAGTTCAGGTCAAGCAATTTGCAAATGTTGATAAAGGGTTTCTTTTTTGATTGAACAATTTTCTTTAAAGCTATCATAATTCTTATATATCTAATCGCTCTTAATTTTGAGATTAAATTCGATACTTGATCTTTGGTATAAATTGTTGATGAATAATTTTTTTCTCAAATCCCTTGTATTTTTTTCTTTTCTTTTACCTGTGTAATTTTGTTTTTTGAAAATTTTTCTAAGCATTACCATGCCAGTTTTACCATGCTTTACATATAAAAAAAAGCTCAGAAAAAAAAAAAAAAACCATAATTCCCTCTTTATGGTTATACTTAATTCAAGATGTAAGACTAGGTTTCTACCTAATGTAAGCCGAGGGTTCCTCTCTCTTGACCGAGCAATTTGTATTCCAACCATTGTTGTTCTAACTATAACATGCCAAGTGCTGGTAAATGCTTGGATTAAGGTTGCTGGTGACAAACAGGGGGGGGGGGGGGGGAGATTTTCTGGCTATAAATTTCTCTATGAACACTTGAGAGTTGAGACTAAAATTTGTTGTGATAAAAAAAAATGTCAAGCCAAAGTACTGCTCAGAATAGTGCACACGAGGCTGGTGAAATCAGTGGTCAAATTCAGGTAATTGTAGATGATGAATATTGTCGGAAATGAAGAATGTTGCAAAAAATTTATGTACCCATGAATTGGATAGCATGTGATATCTTCTCCTTGTAACAGCTAAAGAGGGATGAGATGATGGATCAGGCACCCCATGGCCAGGCCACCAACTCTCAGTCTTCTGATGATCAGAACTCTTCTTATACTACCCAGGCCACCAACTTCCTTCAACAGGCATCTTACTTCTTTTGCTTTTACAATCTTTCATGACTTTATTTTTCCTTTTTGGGATAATTAATTACTGTTCTTTTTTTTTTTTCAATCTGTTTGGTGCAGACAGGAACGCAAGTGAAGCATATGGCACAAGGAGCAGCTGATGCACTGAAGACCACTTTGGGAATGAACAGTGCTGACAGTACTTCCAATGCCCCCAATCCCACCGCCAACACCGCCCCCACCCCTAGTACCAACCATCCAAGCAACCCATCTCCCAGGACTTGAAGCCTTTCGACAAAGCTTATCTTCTTTGCCTTGGTCATGTTAATTGCTATAGCATTTGCTAATCTATATCTCTGTTTTGGAGATAATTGTTTTTTTTTTTTTTTTGCTGCATCTTCAACAAGCATTGAATTGTGACTTCCCATTTTGCTTACGAATTTTAAGTTATTTTTATTAAGTTAGTTTAAACATAAAGTATGCATATAAATTTTTTTCCTTATTTCTTCATGAGGTTTTGTGCATTAATTTCTCATGACTTTAATTTCATAAAAAAGGAAAACTACTATAGATCACAAACTTCAGGCATCAAAGAACAAGTGAATAATGAGGTTTGAATTTTTTTTTTTTTTTGGGAAAGAAACCTATTCATAGATGATATCTTTGTTCGGTACATCATAGTCCCACAAGACTCCGCAAGGAGCATAGGAGTGATAGTACAAGCGGGAGCATCATCAAACAAAATAACAAAAGAGTCATCATACATGGATAAAGAACTAAAATTCGTTTCACCACTTCCATATCTTGCCAGTGCATCAGCGCACCGATTCTCTTCACGGCAAATATGTTTCATCGTTGTCTGATGGAAAAGTCTTTTAACGGAATCCTGCAATCAGAAATGGGCGTATTAAGGTGATGGTTATTAATAGAAGAGCTGGTAATTAGGAATTTAAACTATGATCGAAGTCGCATTTTCGATCACTTACATTTATCGTAATTGTGGATATAAAAAAAATATTATAGTTATTGCTATCATTGCGAAATTTTTTTTATTTACTTGAAAAAAATTATTAAGTTAAAATTTTATATTTTCATATAATTGAATACTTTTGATATTGCTTTAGTAGAGATAATATCATTTTTTCAAAATTTTCAAGAATCATAAATGCCTATTGTTATATTTTTAAATTAATCAATAATTCTTTTTAGTCTCAAGACAAAGCTGCATTGTTTAACAATTCTCTTGACAATCAAATTAATTACTACTTTCATTATTATTTAGCTCAAATCAATTATAATTCACTATAATTGTAGTAAGGGTAGACAAAATCACATACAAATAAATATATATTTATTTTGATAGTGAATGAATGTCATTGCCAAGCCATGGCCATGACCCTCAACTTATTATATAATGGATGACATTTTTAAGTATTATTTAATTACATAAAAAATAATAATAAAAATTAATTTAATATTAAGAAATCACAACAACACAAAAATACCAAAAAATCATTACTAAAATTTAAATACAAACTTATAAATTAATTAAATAATAAAATCAATACATAATCACTTAACTTTAATTTTTTAATTTTTTTTCATTTAAATTATAAAAAAATTCCCTAATAAAATTTGCTCCTATCAAAATGTCCTTTAAATAAAAGAATTTCTCCCAAAATTTAAAAAAGAATTTTCATAAATATATAAATATATTAAAAAAATAATATTGCACCTTTAATTTCTCCCATGGTGTCACTCCTCAACTTCATTCAATTCCCTCTCTAATCCCAGTAGCAGACCCCTAAATTTCCTCAATCCATTTTCTGCCTCTGCTCTCATCCCAGTTTCTCACCACCTCTTCTCATACCCTGACCATGTCTTCGCTAATTTTTCTCTCTAAACCTTCACCCTCATCCCCTGTATCTTCTCTCTCAATTCTCTTACTGTGTGTTGTTTGCTCATCTCTTTCAACCTCAAGTCTCATTATTATCTCTCGACTGTCATCTCTCTTCTCTTGTTTTGGTTTCTCATTTCAAGTCCTAAAAGATCGACAACTTGAACTTAATTGCTTGGCTTTCGGCTTTCTTGATCTATCTGAGAGATCTATTCTTAAGGGAATCGTAGGCTTAAAATAGATTTGTAAATAGAGGATGCCCTTCAAGAAAAAAGTCATGACACCACATTATCTCACTTTCTCATCTGTCTCCTGCAAAATTGAAAAATTTTCAACAAAAAAAAAAAAAGTAATTTAGGTGTTGAATTTCTTGCTTACCTTCATTCAATTACTTGTGCTTAATGTTTATTGAGGTTGAATTTGAGTGAATTGATGCCTCTGGCAGTCTAGGTTTTGTGTTTTTTGGATTGAATTTATGAATTGATTAACTCGAGCCAATGATTTTTGTTTTTGAATTTTTGGATGAAAAATGAAAAACGAAATATCGAGAATAGCGAACCATTATTGGCTATTCACTGTTACGCTGATTTTTGCGACCGCGATACACCACTATTGTTGGGATTGAAGTTCTCTGATATTTGCTCAATAGCAGTGGCGAACAGTTGTGTTATCGTTAAATAACAATCGCTATACTGCTATTTCACCACTATTTAAATCCCTGTTGGTAATAATGTTAATCACAGCCATGGCATCCAACTCAATTTCTAACTTCCTTATTCCTCGTTTTTTGCCAAGTTACCATCCCAAAGCGCCCCATAATTCAACTTCGACGCTCGTTCCAGTAGGGGTGTGTCTGGTGGGCCCTTGTACCCATTTTTCTTCCTGGTTCCTATGATCGATCCTGCCCCAGCTTTAACTGGGTTACCTTCAATGAACCATTCGTGTTGCGACTAAACCAACCCTGGCTTTGTAGTTTCCATTGTACGCAAGTGGTAGAGGAGGGACGAGCTCTTTTAACGTGTTCGGCCAATGCCACATACTTAGTTGCATGCTTTAAAGCTTTCTCAACCATTCTATTACTAATGGCTTTTCCTTCGAAGGTCAACAAATTTCTTGTTTTCCAATTCTCCCTAGTAAGAAGATAAATGCAATGCTTCAGGGAACCATCTTGTTGGGCATCCATGTTTTGTCCGTGACGTTTGAATTGATCCATTTTTCTCAGACGTCACCATTACTGAGGTTGCTTTGAATCGGATAGTTTTTGGAGGATCACCAAGGTTTGACCATAGCACAATCGGCTAGTAAGTGGTTTATCGTTACTTCATGATCATTGCAAAAAGGACAAAGACCTTGCACATTCATACCTCTTGACCTAAGGAAAGCTCGAGTGGGCAAAATTCTCCTGATACATTCCCATGTAAAGAACTTCGACTTAGGGGAAACCTTTTGTTTCCAGATCCAGTACCGTCTATCTTCGGCCTTATTATCCACTTGCATGTCCATATTTTGGGCCACTTATACGCATTGTTTAAATCAAACTCCCCATTATTGGACAAATTCCAGCAAATTGAGTCCTTTCCATCGTCCTGTAAAGTGAACGGGATACTCCGGATGGTTTGCCAAATCTCTTTGGGGATTTCCAGATATATGGGTTGTTGCTCCACTGTACCCATTCTTTGTTTGAACTGTTTGAAAGTGATATTCTCCTCTTCCTTATTAAGAGGACCTTCAACAAGATTCCTGATTTTTCCAAGCCCAATCCAATTATCTTTCCAAGAGCTCGTGGTAGCTCTATCTTGTACGGTCCATACAGTCCCCTTGTCCAAAATATTAGGTCAACTTTTAAGCGCTCTTTAAATGGTAGAAACATCGACTTCCTGCTCGTAGGGTTGTTGCTTTAGAGGTATTTACCCATTAGAGTCCTTGCCCATAAGTCCTTTAATTGTGTATCATTCTCCAACACCGTTCGGATGAGATAGCTTAGTTTCTTTCTTTACTAGACTTCAAGCCCGAGCCTCCTTCTTCTTTGGCTTTGGTCACCTCCCTTCAATTAAGCCTGTGCAGTTTCCTGGTTTTAGTTTCTCTTTCCCATAAAAATCTTTTGTTAATCTTATCAAGTTCAGAGCAGGTTGCCATAGGGAAGGGCCCTGCATTGCATGAAGTAAGAAGGGATGGTTTCCATTGTGGATTGGATAAGGACAAGTCTGCCAACTGGGGAGAGGTGGTTAGATTTCCATCATGCCAGCTTATAATTAACTTTCTCGATTATAAAGTTAAAGTCTTGCTTTTTCGTTCTTTTGTTGTGCATGGGGAAGCCTAGGTTTTTTTCCAAGCTCTTCATTACTCTTGATGGTTAAACAATTGGTAATTCATTCAGGTTGAACCCTCTCAGTGTTCTTCTAGAAAAGAATTTTGGATTTCTCCCAAATGATCTTTTGGCTCGAATCTTTCATGAATTTATCCAGGATCTTGTTGATGGTGTTTGTGGACTTTTTATCTGTTCTGGCAAAGAGGATGATATTGTCAGCAAACATAAAGTGGGAAAGAGGAGGACCGTTCCTGGAAACCTTAACCGGGAACCACCTTTTCTTGTAAACAGCTTCCTAGATCAAGTTATTGAGGTTTTCCATGCATAAATGAAGACGTAATGAGACAAAGGATCACTTCGTCAAATTCCCTTGGAAGGCATAAAGCTTTCTAGTTTTCCTCCATTTACCACAATCGAAAGCCTGGACGAGGTGATGCAATTCATGATGAGCTCAATCCATTCTGGGGGTTGATTAAACCATTGGGGAACATATTTTATAAACCCTCACTCAAGCCGATCATAGGCTTTTTCCAAATAAAGTTTAACTATCATTATCCCATGCTTTCCCTTTTTCCTTTCATGGAATGGATGACCTCTTGAATAATAACCATATTATCAGTAGCTTGTCTTCCTAGAATGAAGCTACCTTGAAGAGGCGATATAAGCTTGTTTAGGAGGGGTCTCATCCTATGAACAAAGATTTTTGAAACAATTTTGTAAGTTGTATTAAGTACGTTAATTGGCCTGAATTGACTTATCAGAGTAGGGGATTGACTTTTAGGGATCAAGGTGATCAAAATATCATTCATACCCTCCTGGAGTCTGAATTTTTCAAACACATCCATGACGGTCTCACATAGTTTGCCTTTAACCTGGTTCCAATGGTGTTAATAAAAAAACTATGGGTGAAGACCATCTAGGCCAAGGGCCTTAAATGGCTTTAGGTTCTATTCCTCTTGGAGTGGCAGTTGCAGAATGGAAGCTTCCTCCTCTGTAAGAATGATCCAATGTAAATCAATGTTGTTTTGAGCTCTACATTCTATCATCCTTGAGGTAGAAATAAAAAGCGAATTGAAGTTC